TGACTGCTCCAATTTCTGTTGCAAGTCTCCGGTTTTTTATGACCCTACACAGAAAATTAAAATTTTTACCATTTTTCTTCTATCGCTCCTATCTATGCAACAGATGACCATTACTAAGCAGATGAGAAGTCATTATAAAGAGCATGACTTACCGTTTCACATAAAAGTGAAAGCAGTCAAATCGGTTGGAAAAATCAGAAGTTATGAATTTTGAAATTCATGCGCAAAAACTTTCTGGACGACCTAATAAGAGCGAGGTGGAGCAAGTTAATAGCAAAAAATGTGCTGTGGATTGAAATCGTTATCAGCACTAACGGGAACGCGAGCGAAAGCGTCTATCTAAGCGTGCTTATCGTTGTTATATGTTTATGTTTTTTTTGAGTGAAAAATGCGCTTTTGATTGACAGTTGTGCCATCATTATCAGCACATACTCAAAAAACTATGGGAGATTGGTAAATTTCCACACCTTCATACAGAAACCTGCCCATTTCTGGAATCTATACTCTGTAAACCTAGTGCTGAAGAAGGTCACTTTCATGAAAACGCTCTAGACTGACCTTACCTAATTTGTAGAGAAGGTGGTTGGGTTCAATGAATCAAAAACTTAAAGACATTCAGAAGAATAACATGTTATTTAATTATCCCTCAATATTTTGGAAAGGTTGGCAGTTTAAAGAGGAAACTTCAGGCAGAATACTTTACAAAATCAAAATTTTCAATTTTTTGTTGAATAACCAAACGAAAACGAGGCCCATTTTGATGACTGAGTAGGCTGGTAAACACACGGCTGTACCAAATTTTGGAACGTTTCATTGACAACATAGTGAGTTATGGCACTTTTTAGAGTGGACCCATAATTTTGTCCAGCACTGTATCAAATCTTGCAACTCCCCTTTACGAATCTGAAGAAGTGTGAGAATTTTTGAGAAATTTTTTTGTTTGTCACGCGAACTTGAGAAATCCTCTACTGCCTAGGGAATGTGGTAGTGGATTCCGAAATATTCTGAAAGTATCCAGTCAGCACTTGCACTAGGAGAAAAGCTGTGAATTTTTTTTAACGAGAAAGTGGCTGCGGCGCAACAGAGTGCGATCAGAAAACGTGGCACAGAGACCTAGATATAATCGTTTATCGCTCCAAAATCGTGATGCAGACAAAGTCCGATGCTTTTTTCATTGTTCCTGTTACTTTTTGCTGGAATCTGGAATTTCGAATCATAGTTTGAGTCCAATTCAATAGGCAAGTGCAGTCCTGACTCGCCTCTTTTTCTAGAATTTTTGCGATTTACGTGTGGTGTAAACTTCCTTATTTGGCTAAAACAAGAGCCACTCTATAATTCATCTATAGTGGGTATGAAGAATTGGAGAAGGGGTCATGCACTACATAACAGCTTTTTGAACCTTATATTAATGCTGGTGATATAGTTACGGTCCAAAATCGCGCTTGTATACTATCGGCATATCGTTAATGTTTTTGCGCGCTGTTATCACTCGTTTAAACGAACAGAAGGAAACATTTTCAAATCAAACTTATATTTATCTAATCTTAAGGATCTCGCCTACGTGTGGGAATCAAAAAAACTACAGAAAACTACAGATTTACTTTATGTTTGAGGTATTTCAGGAGCCAAGTTGGAGGGACAGTACTTTTTCCGCACCCTACACACTGCTGGACATAATTATAAAGACACTCTAGAAATCGTCGTAATTTTCGTTCTTGTCAATGAATCTGTCTGAAACTTTGCTATATTGTGCGCATGTCAGCCTTCCATAAATCCTCAAAACGGCTTCCAGTCTTGTTGAGTTTGAACGGAAAAAAACGAAAAAATTCGAAAAAGCCCTCTTTAAAAGCTGGACAAAATTATAAAGACACCTGGTTTTTCTAATCACTATCGCTTTCATTGAGTCTTAATTTTTTTTGTACAATTACATCCTAAAATATGAAACATTTGCAACATCTGCGACATGTTCTTCTTTTTACAGAAAATAGTTCACTGCATTTTTTGCTTTCAAAAGCAACAAATGTCAATTTGCTTTAACGGACAACTGGTTTGAAGAGTTTTCAAGCTCTTGTTCTTTTCAAATAATGGTCATGTAATCTACTGACTCTTCTGGATAGATGAGGTGAAAAGCGCCTTCGTAAACTCTGCGTAATCGCTGATTTTGACGGACAGACTCCAACCTAACACCATAGGGTTGACGCACTTTTGCACCACAAAACTCGACATTCAAGCGACAGAAAATACTGTAATGTAGCCATTACGACAGCCATACAACAGTGAACTCGTGTGCACGACTGGGAAAATATTTCGGGATGAGCACTCTTGTTCAGCCGCAGTTGACATCCACTGAATGTTGAGTGGAGCACCGTGCACAATCAAAGCCAACTCAGATCACAAGATAAGACCGGAGACGCTTGAATCTTCTAAATCATAGTTAATCTTATTCATCGGGTAAAGCATGACATGAAGCACAAAAAGAAATAAGGAGATTCAGGGTTATATTACTATTATGTTATATTATTATTATTTATATTATTATTATGTTACTTTGATCACTTACACAATGTCACATCATTCTACATTCGATTGCCCGAGAAGTACTTAGGGTGAGCTCAGTGAATTGGTCTAGGCACGCATGGTTTCGCCCATTCGCCTTACTCTCACCCTCTTATATTGAGCTCGGTTCAGAGCAATAGGAAGTCATGCACTATATCCGAAAGCAATGTTTTATAACACGAGATAGCTAGGGTGAGCTCAGTGAATTAACCTAGGTACGCATGGTTTAGCCCATTCGCCTTGGTTTCACCCTGTTTCAAATCTGGTCGCTTAAGTACAGGAAAATATGAAAACTACCTCTGGCGCTGTTAATCCAACTCCAATTCTGCTCACTATCCAAATGAGCTTTTTGAACAGGTAATATAGTGGCAAGTTTGGATGCTATAATTTCATTTCCTTTCATGTTAGTTTGGTAGTATCAAGACTAAGAACTTTTTTTTTTCTTTTGATACTTTTATCTGAGTTCGTTTTTATTCGCCATGACTATTGTCCAGATTTTTGATTAGTCGATGGCACACTTTTGGTGCAATAAATAAATAAATAAGTAAATAAAATATCGAATCTTCTTCTCGCAGGGAATTTTCGTGGAAAGTATTTCAGGTCTAAATCGCTACAGCATCATTAGGGAAAATCTGAAAGTTGTTGCGAAAGCTGCATCCCCATGTAGGCAATGTAACAAATCAAGTTCAGCACTTTCTGGGCATTGCAAACTGAGTTACATGGTGCAAAAGTGCGTCAACCTTATGGTTAGGTTGGAGTCTGTCCGTCAAAATCAGCGATTACGCAGAGTTGACGAAAGCGCTCTCTACCTCATCTATTCAGAAGGGTTAGTAGATTCCATGACCATCATTTGAAAAGAACAAGAGCTTGAAAATTCTTCAAACCAGTTGTCCGTTAAAGCAAATTGACTTTTGTTGCTTTTGAAAGCAAAAAATGCAGTGAACTTTTTTCTGTAGAAAGTTGCAAATGTTTCATATTTTAGGATGCAATTGTACAAAAAATTTGAGAGTCAACGAAAGCGATAGCGATTAGAAAAACCAGGTGTCTTTATGGTTTTGTCCAGCTTTCAAAGAGGGCTTTTTCGAATTTTTTCGTTTTTTTCCGTTCAAGCTCAACAAGACTGGAAGCCGCGTTTTGAGGGTTTATGGAAGGCTGACATGCGCACAATATAGCAAAGTTTCAGACAGATTCATTGACAAGAACAAAAATTACGACATTTTCTAGAGTGTCTTTATAATTATGTCCAGCACTGTATATAAGAAAGAATGTTCCGTCTTTGTGATTGATTGCATTGCTGAGGCAAAACGTTGATGATCTGGCCACACAATGAGGAATTGAACAAGGACGGCCACCAAGGTTCAAAATCAACTTCGAAGAAAACGTATTCGGAGAAGATTGCAGGCGAATTGGCCAAACATTTTGATAGATGGACCAACTGTAGAGGCCAATTTATAATCCTGCCCCTTGATGCAAACTCCGCCACCACAGAGTAAGATAGAAATGAGGCAAGCTACGCTTGCTCTGCGACCTCCACACTACACGAAAACAGGCAATTTTCAGAGAGAAAGAGATGGAGACCAGGCGGCTCAAACTTCGGTGGCGGTTGATAGCGAAAAAGTCCGAAAGCAATGTTCAACGTGGCAGTTTGATTTTATCAACAATTTCATATATCGGCAGTGCTGTCGCCTTTAGGCCTCGGACAGAGTTCACGCGATTTGATCGTCGCAATTCAACGCCGCGATCTCCATTCATTTTCATTTTACATTAAAAAATTTCGGGCTGGAAAAGTATCACAGCCGAAATGCAAGCTGGTCGGCATGCAATAAGCTCGCAACAGTTGTCTTGTTGCGATTGAATCGCGACGATCAAATCGCGTGAAGTCTGCCCGGGGCCTAACACCTAAAGGGCCGGGCATACTTCACGCGATTTCAGTCACCACGCGATTTGGAATTCGCCAGAAGTCTTTAGATCCAACATTAGCAAACCGCACATGCATAGTGTGTATGACATACATGGACTGATAACATGCCCCATCTTCTGCACATTTAAAATGTGTTTACAATGAGTTATGGACAGTTGGAATTTTGCCAAATCGCGTCGCGACTGAAATCGCGTGAAGCATGCCCGGCTCTTAAGACACCAACATTCACTCCGCATATCAAATGGGAAAAAATAACGGCAATCATTTTCTATAGTCATGAACCGTCTACTTCATTGCCACTTACAAGGGAAGGATACTTAATCGCACTGACGATTGGGTAAGCGGTGTATACCGCGTATACTGTACCGTCCCCAGACGGTGACCTCTGATGGTGATCTCTCCCTTATGGCCTGAGAATCGATAAGCAATGGGTAAAGTAGGCCAGACATGTTATCGAAAGGAACAACAAGTTATTGAAAGATTCTTCAGTTGGTACTGAGAAGTTTATTTCATTGCATCACTCATGGATAGCGGCGGATATCAAGTTTCCCAATCGCCTTCGAGGACAACTACGGTATTTCTGTTTCATCTAGTCTAAGTAAACTACTCAGACACTGAGAGCGGACAAGCCGCTGCCCTTTTCCGACTGGAATTTCGCAGCTCTTGCGGCCCGGCCGGAGAATGAGCGCCTCAGCTCGGGAGCAGCTGGTTGTCGGGCCGTTTGTAGTTCATTCTAGCTCGGCCTAGTTGGATTTTTGCCCACCCTTCAAAGGGCTCCCCTTTGTCATTAAATTGCATGAAATTCGACAGTATAAGCCGGACATAGATACACCAGTGCGTCACCTCCGCTTCGCGGAGGTTCGCACTGGCTCCGTATCCGTATGCCTTTCTCATGTTCGCATGAGAATAGGTTTGAAACCCACCACGCGATGATGAGCTTCACAAATGAATCGTAAACAGCTGTTCATTCATGAAGCATCTCCATGTAAGATCGGTAATTTTGAGAAAAAAAACTTTGTTGCAAGGAAACAAATGCGAATTTGAACGGATTACTAAATTTATTTTAGTTTGGTAATCGTCATAAGGATAATAGTCATCTTGGGCTACATTTCAGTGCAAAAATCTTTTCAGTTTTTTTCAAATAGAACCGTGACAAATCGACTATCTACGCGTTCATCACTTTTTGGCGCTGTTTTCGAAAAAAAAAAGCAGCCTTTTTGAGCGTTCTTTGGGCTAGAATTCATGGCGCGCCGAGAACTTTGCAAAAAGTCGAATTAGCGACCCAGTTTTGCGTGCCAAAAGGCGCATGGACCCGTTTGACGCGCAAATTTTGAGGGACCCGTTTGTCGAACCGGCTCGTCCTTGCGCATGGTGGGCTTACATGCTGGCACGGTAGGGTGAAGCACTGGCATCGTGAACGTGGTAAACTCACTTTCTGAGAGCTTGTCTCTCAAATTTTTTTCGGTTTATTGCAACGTGAACCGTAGTTAAAAATGAACCATACTCGCTTCTTAACCTCACATGATGTTTAGTATCGTAAATCATTCCTCAATGTAATTTCGTAACGGACAAACTCCACACAACTTCAGATTAAGCCGCTTATTATAAGTCATGATAGGATGATAGTACTGTCTTTGTCATGATAGTCACTGGCACATAAGAAAATACACATTAAAAAACGAAAATTGAAGCCACCGATACAGCAGCTTCGAAACGAAGTTGGCTTCAAAATTGGGTAATGCCAGCTGTATCCAAAGTTATTAACAAGACAACATATTGATCTTGTCCTTGTCTGGGAGACTGGAAACACATCCAAGGCTATGGACATCGAGGGAGCCCGACCATGCGTCGTACATCGCGCAAGTATCCTTTACGCTAAGGCACTAGGAGTGGACCAGCCCCGCCTTCATTCTACATAAGCCGCGGCTCGGCCGGAGTTTCTTACACGGATTTTAGTCCGCGGCTCATCCGCTGCAAAGCTGCGCTCCCGTCATTAAGGGCTGCCGCTAAGCCGGTGAGCCTATTCCCTACCGCGACTCGGCCGGTGCAATGATAATGACATGAACGAAGGGCTGCAGGTCATCCGCACCCCGGCCGCGTCCCCAATTAAGGCAGTGGACGGGCCGGAAAAGCCTTTTGGGGCCCGCGGCTAGTCCGCTCCCAATGTCTGAATAAGTACTCAGACACTAGGAGCAGACGAGCCGCGGCCCAGTTCCGGCCGGGCATTCGCAGATCCCGCGTGCCGGCCGTGAACGAACATTTTCCGCCGTAAGCGAGCCGGGCTCGCGCGTAGTGAGCCGCGCTTTGGCCGGAACAGGGCCTCAACACAGCCGCATTGGTTCGTATCGGATCGTCCGAGCACCGCCAAAAGAGAAAATCTTAGCTGCTTCCATAAAGACAATAGAACAAACACCATTCATTTATGATAGATCCTTTATCTTCTGTCTAAAATATACATACATAAACTTCTTGCAAACCACATTATAGTAAAAGCTACAATTAATCAGAATCCTGAAGATGGAGCAGGCGGATGTCCAAAAAATGATGAAATCCTAATCGCATTGTTCTATATCCCGCGCTTCTTAAGAACGCATGTACAGGGCTTTACAACCTGAGTGTCACAGCCGCCCCGCTCGGCCGCCACGCTTAGGTCCGCGCAGCGTTCGTGGCGCTGGCTGCGCGTCGACTGAAGCTTGGCAAAAGCCCGGGCTACGAAAAAAAGCTACGCCGCAAACGCCGCGCGCGGCCTGAGCGAGGCGGCCGCGTTGGAGGAGCCGCGCAAGCGGAGGCTGTGACTCTTATGTTGAAAAGCCCTGTACGTATTGCCATCTATCGTTTCGATATTGTCCTCGGGCATCTCTCCCAAATCCTCCCTCTTCTCTCTGAAACATGCGAATAATTATTTATTAATCAAAATAACATTTATTTGAAATAAACCAGTGGTGTGCCAAAAAAAGAATACAAGTAATCTGTAGCGGGAATTGTCACGCGAAATGTCACACAAGTGTTCATGATAGACAGGTGAGGCAGATAAAATGGCCCGTCCAAAGTGCAGGTCGTTCTCCTTCTTCTGTGGCGATTATTCCTCTGCCAAAATCCTGTTCCCTTACCCGGACGCGTTAGATAGCAACACCAAAACTAGCTGACCACTTAATCTTATGCGGACGGATCCGCCAGGGACCCTGGGAAAGCGAGAAGGGGGGATCTCAAGGAAGAGGGGCAGCCAACTTTGGTTTCCTCAAAGGCTGAGCGAAGAGACTGCAAACCTTGTCTGGATATCTAAGTAGAACGATAGAAATGGCTTTGTCAGTGCTGTAGTCATGCCTGATAAAGAGTCAGAAAAAAGGAAATATTTTTTGTTTTTTCTCCCCATTTGGCACGGTGTGCAGGAAAAGTCCCCCCAAAAAGATGTGCAGTATACATACAGCAGGCTAAACATCAGCACTCTCAAAATTTGTGGGACATCTATGGAAGTAATTTTTTTTCGAAAATCCGCAGAATTTTTGGACGAGATAATTTCACATGGTAGAAGATTGAGCCATCTTGCCGAACGGCACACAAAAGAATCAATGCTATTGACAACTTTTTACGTCCTAACTTCCTGTAAAATAAAATGAAGCCGCCTGTTCTCTCACAAGGTCTGAAAATCCAGTAACGGCTAAAACTTAGTCTTGTTTCAAGTCTAAAAATGCGAAAACATAAGACTAAGTCGTTACGTAAGCGTCTATAACCCAGGCTATGCAATTTAAGCGTAGCCAGTCTAATATTGTACGATGGCAGAGTTTGAGGATAATCCGGTGTGGGAAATATCTGTAGTAAAGAATTCTGATAAATGTTTTCTGGACTTTCTCTAATTTTTCAATGTTCTTCTTCACAAATGGACTCCAGGCCGGTGATGCATATTCTATATGTGGCAGAACGTAGATCTTATAGAGCAGCACAAGGAGCACTAGGTCATTGCTCCGAATGCTTCTTAGTAAAATGAAATGAACAGCGCTGACAGAGCTTTCTTGATCACTGAATCAAAGTGGAAATTGAAATTTAGCTGATTGTCTACAAGAACGTCAAGGTTTTTGTATTGTTACAGCGCTCCAAGACGACCCCGTCGCAAAAATAGTCACGAAATTCAGAGTTGCCAATATGGAGAACTTTGGGTTTATGCATTAACGGGGAGATCCCACTTCTTAGACCAAAGATCTTTTTTCTATAACAGAAGAAATTGCTGTATATGCTTCAGAGTACTCTTCCACATTGTAACGAAAATATTAGGGTGTCTTATAACTATTTACCGTTTTTACCACATCAGCATTTTTCGAGAACTAGGTACCTTCAAAATTTCCAAATACATGATCGTACTTCTGTATGTATGAGCTATATGATCGCATGTGCGGGAGGAGCTCAGGACTTCTAAGGGTGGAGTTTGCCATTTTACTTTATTCAATTTTTTTATTTCTAGCCATGAAAAAAATACGGAATTGTATAATTGAATGTTTAGTGAGTTTACTTCAGATAAAGTTAGTTAGTTCAGTTTACTTCAGATATTTATGCCGTTGTTTACACAGAAATATGTTTTCAATGATCTCTTTTGCATTTTACTTGTTTTCCTTTTCTTCATTCAGCAAAAAATTTTTCAAAACCCAAAAGTGAAGGTGGTCACCTGTACTAGCTCAAAAGTGAAGGTAGAGGGAGAACTGGCTCCCATTATCGCATGCCTGATAAGCAGTCTTTTGAATCAAGAATAATTGTGAAAGGGGATCAAGACCTATCCCGTTGGTTACCTTTTATAAGGATTATAAAGACTTCTTTGTCAGCATGTCGTCATAAGCGTGTTCCGTACTCGAACGAGAACGATGTTTACCTAGCATGCGTTCCAAACAATCGAGGACGAGTTTTGCTTTTGTGCTTTTGTAGAAATACTTCGTCTAAATTCATAACTTGTGTAGAGTGGAACTGAAATTGCCGCAAAAAGTGTGACGTCCACCGCCTCTTACTTATAAGAGTTCAGTACAGCATTGTATAGGGAGATTGTGTCACCGGGTTGAGCACAATGAGTCTGTGAGTAAGCTATGTAATGACAGCTTGCAAACAAACTTTGAATCTTATTATAAAGCTGAATGTGTGTGTGTCTGTCTGTCTGTCTGTCTGTCTGTCTGTACGTATGTGCGGAATAGAAATTTTTATTTATGAACCGATTTGGACCAGACTTGGCACACATATACTTCGGAACAGGGAGCGTGTCATAGGCTACTTTTCGTTATCGATCGATATCGATTTTATCGATTTTTTGCAAAATTTGAGCTACGGGGCTGGGAATTGGCACAGGGGGTAATCGAGCATGCTGATTACAAATATGTTATTGACAGGGCCGGGCGAAGCCGGGTTTGCCAACTAGTTTCAAATAAAAATGTGTTCTTTAGTTACTTGCTTATCTCAAACGCTTTGCTGTAGGTCTAGCCAAGGCGAAAAAAAAGGACTGTTCGAATTAGTAATCGAAAACGGTTGTGTGTCTTTATGGGAAAGACATTCTGCTGTAACTTATGTATGCAGATTTTCTCATTCTTTCGATACAGTCCTTGGAAATTGAAAGTTACCAAACTATTTCTTTCCTCAAAAAGACTTTCTGAACACTTTTCTAAATGGTATGTGAAGACGAGTACGAGGCTTATCAAATACAGTGTCGGGTAAATCAGCACCTTCACTCCCGCGCGGCCGCCTCGCTTGCACTCTGCAACTCTTTTGCGAGCATGCTTTCTAATTATTTTCCCACTACGAGAATGTGGAAGGCGGAATCTCAGCCGACTAGAAATGATTAGAGAGCATGCTCGCGAAAGAGATGCAGAGTCCAGGCAAGGCGGCAGCGCGGGAGTGAAATGCTTGTGCACCCGACATAAATCCTGTATGCACGACCTGCGCGACAGCATGTGCGCTGCTGCTTCCGCTGTTGCTTAGAATCGGCTTTCCACGTTATACTTTTTTGAAATGTTTTTCTTGATGACTGAGCAATTCGAAGGAATGCATCAAAGAAAATCTTAAGAATGCAAAAAATATTTCTCCCCCTGTTCTGGAACTATGAAAGTGAACGAATAGAAGTGAGATTCAGAAGCATCTAAAATAGCCCCAACAAAGTGCGCAAAAAGTGTTCTTTCGTACGTGCTAAAATCGCTTGAAATTAACCGAAATATGCAGCATAGCGCATGAAAAACGGAAAAAAAAAACACTACTTGCACACATTTTGTCGAAGGGATTAGTATTTTTGGAAAAAAAATCATTAGTAAGAAAGCAAATACGGATTGGAAATGATAAATAAAATTACGATAACTTGAGCAAATATAAGGAACGACTAATGCGAGCTGTGTATATGATGAAACCTCCTCAGTTTTTCAAATGGAGATACGGGAAAAAACAAAATTTTGCTTATTTTTTTGATTGATATTTTAAAGAATATGTATGTAACTTTGAAGCTAAAGGACAACGACCGACTTGCAGACGAACACCTTTTCCGAACTATTGCTACTAATCATAAAATGCATTTCCATTCATGTGGAACTTTCGAATAAAGCGATAATCGATGAAAATTCGTTTTTCGTTCTATGGATTACAAAGTCAATGGAACACTTCTATAGACTTCCGCATAAAGTAACTCAGAACATCTGTTAAGGCAAAGATAGATGTGTGGAAAGTTCCACTTAGACTATTCATAGGGGCGCCAACCCCGTTGAAGCAAAAGGTATATATAGAGTGTCCCAAAGAATGTGCACGCTGTTTAATTATGAATAACTCTACTGCATTAATGTCTTCCGCCAATGTTCAAGTACCATTTTGTAGAGTTAGCACAGCTTAGATTTACAGTGAAGAGCAAATCACCGACCACCCTTCCTTGCTGAGGATTGCTGTAGAAACTTCCAGCGTACAGAACCATCATGATCACGTCGGCCAGTTTTTTTCAAAAGAATAAAAAATTGCCAGGGCATTCGCACATGCTGACGTCACTGCACCACATTTTACGAGTTTTTTGAGGTTTTTCGATAGTTTAATCTGTTCTTTTTAATTTCTGACGAACATCATAAAAGCATTTCTTACGATTTAACTGGAGGAACTTGGGGAAGAAAGATCACAGTAAACTGCGAATTTCATATTCGAAATAATCACCTTTGATCAGCCTTCGAACAAGACTTTTTATTTTGCTTAGTCTTCTTCAAGGCAGAGGAGAGATAAAATATTGTTCCTGAAGGCCTGAAATTGTCATCGTGGTTCTACCGCAATTCTACAGTAATGAAGAGTAGTGGGTGTGTCAGGGTATGATTCACCATGCCGATATAACATTGGCATAGTGAATCATACTCTGACGGTGATGCGCTTCATACTGTTAATCTAAGTTGAAACCAGCACTACAGAAACACACTTAAAACAGGTAAAAGACTTAAATGCAAGAAAGTCGCTAATAGAAAAATAATGTGCACATTTTTTGGGGCGCCCTATATATGTTAGGTTGACGCAAAAGTTCTTGCGCAATTCAAACAAAATTTAATAACTTTCCAAAAACTAGCCCTAAATTGATGATTTGTTATCGCTATCTCTTATCTCTAAAATAAAGGAAGAATTGCGCTTCATAACAAATGCTCAAGCTGAACTAATTAGTTAGACATTGAGAACGAAGAAAAAATGACGATTCGAAGAATGCGACTTTGAGTTTGGTGCTACAAAACCGCAGAGGGCCGCTAACTAGCCCAAAAAATCTACAAAATATCCTTACATACTAAAAGTCCATATGCTATGTAGCAGGTTTCGATATCCTATGGTAGGGCAAAAAGAAAAGAAAGTCATTTTTAGAAAAAAATCCCTTTATCACAGCACCTTATCCAGCACTAAAACACTATTTACCGCTTCAAAAAAAGACACAGTGTTCTGGTTAAGCACTGAGTATAATTTCTAGTTTCAAAAGGTTTTCCTGTAATAAACTGCAGCGGTAAGAGGAGTTTTCCTGTAAAATGACATGTTCCAAAAAATTTTTGTTTTTGCATTTCCATACGAGATTGAAACATGAAAGTAACGTAGGGACTTTCGGTGTGTAGAGAATTTTTACAGATTTTTTGGGTTAGCTAGCCGCCCTTCGCAATTTTCTAGCACCAAACTCAAAATGGGTTTTTCAAATCGTCATTTTTTCTTCGTTCTCGGTGGCTAACTTACAAAATGTTTGGTTCAAACATCTGTTATGGAGCGCAAAGCTTTTTCTATTTTTTGATACCGAAACATCGATTTAGAGAGCTACTCTATGGAAAATCATTGGATTTTGTTTAAATGACGCAAGAACTTTCGCGCCAAGCTAATATATCAGTAGCGGTCCCAAGATTTCCGATTCGAGATTTTTTCTCGAGTTCTTGAGCCCTTAACGTCTAAAATTCAGGAAAAGAGGCGTAGCGGCAACCGCGTCCTCGAAAAAAAATTTTTTACAAGGCTAACTTGAATTTTGAAAAGTTCTTAAACTTCTAATAATTTACAATTAGGTCTGCTACCATAACAAACCTGTACGGCACAACAGAGTTGAAGATTATAAGTTCTTTAACTTATTTTAATTTTTTACAAGAATAAAAAGTCATTTGCACATTTTTTTAAACCCTATTGCTTGTGTGTGATGCTTAACCATTTGTCATGACATTCATAACACGGGCTATAGCCAAAATTTCGGGCGAATTACTTGTCCAGCACGTAGGTTCAGTACGTGGAGCTGCAGGTCCGATGCGTTATTCCCTTGAGCATCGCATGTCATACGAATCCACACTTTTAATCCTGCAAAATTGGGTCCGTGAATGGAATTTATCCACCAAAAACGCAGCATAGTTGTAGAAACCAAGGGAATTCAACAACGCTAATTAGCACCTGAACAGCATCGTATGTGGAGCTGATTTGTGCCACGGTATCCCCGCACCTCATTTAGGTGCACAAACGCAGATCAACTCGCAAACGGTTCAGGTGCGATTAGCGTTGCTAACAACTTATGGCTGACTTTGCGGCAAGCGTTTAGGACAAATTCCCTCAAGCACCGGGTCCCTATAGCTTTTTGCGAGTTTCAGATTTCGGCGTGGAAATCTCAACTCAGTAGTCAAGATCATATTAAAAACACAACGGCTGGAAAGAGGAAGATGTTTGGCATTGAACACTGTTTAGCTTACTTGTCTGCTTTCATTCTGAAACACTTGCGGGTAGGTCCAAAAGGCAAAGAAGTTTTGCACCGTAGTATTAAGCGCAAAAAAAGGAATGTCGTTGTTTTCGAGTTTTTTTTTGGCAGAAGGTGATACTTCTTGTGAAGTAGAGCCGAAGAAAACACGAAACCGGACTTCGATAGTTAAATGTAACACATGACTGCATGTTTGCGATGATTGTCAAAGATGGAGCTCGCCATTCTTCTTCTTTTTTTTTATTCTGTCACGAATAACATATAGCAAGTGTACATATGGATGAGTACATGTATTTTCAAAAACAAGCATGAAAAAATAGTTTTCAGGTCTTTTCGTGCTAAGCCAACTAATCCGATTGCGCCATAAACTTTTATATGCTCTTCGAGCTTTCGGTTAATCACGACTTTCGAATTATTCTTACACAATATGTGATTCTGCACATTATGCGCTGCAACCGACCACACCCTTACTAGTAACTCTCGGTAAAACCTTTCAGTGTAACAAATTGTAGAAATAAGTACTATTATGCTATTTAAAAAACGATGCGTTTTGGTTTCGTCGCGGAGTTTTACTTTGGAAACTTCTAGAAAGCATACATTTTATTCTCTCAACATTCTCTTTTGGCGAATTGTAATCTTAATAGTAAATAGTGTTTGGCAGGAAATTTTTATGCGCGTAGCCACAACCAGTACTGCAGAATAGCCATGCAAAAATTTTTCAGGAACTTCTGAAAAACAAAAAAAAACAATCGACCATTTTCATTCTTATTTTTGTAGACTGCAAGCTTCTCAAATTCACAATTTCCCATTTTTTTCATTATCAATGCAGCCTAGAAGTTCACACGTCAAGCAGTTCCTGATAGCTCTGGTCTTATTGGTAACGCGCAAAGAGACATAAAAATTGCTTTTTGTTTTATGGGAGCGTAGACGGCCACGGCTGCTGATCATGCTTGGGCCTTAACATCCCTGCTCCAGCGGTTGGGACGCATTACTATGGGTTTTGTAGGATAATCAGCATTTTTTAGCTATATTATCCTAAAATATCTTTCTTAAAGAATAAGTTCAAGTCAAAGCAATAAATCTCCATTTCGAGGTTGCATAAAGAAAGGCTTAGAAAAACAGGCGGACTTAACAAACAAAACAAAACCTATCAGGAAGAGGAGAGAAAGCGCTTTTAGCTATTGCGCATTGCGCGCTGGTTATAAGAAGCGCATTACAGGTGAACAAATGCTTTGAAAATACACGTACAGAAACCTGCATCAATTTTCGAACAACTATTACTAACACATAAACCCAAATGGAAAAAGAGAAGAAAACAAGGACTAATCACTAAAACGATCATCGCCAAGTAGCGCGTGTGGTGTGCAATACACATGTTAAGTCACAAATAGGGTCAAGCGTAGGTTGTGGCATGCCACACCTGGGGGAGGTCATATTGAGGAATCGGGGGGGGGGGAGGATCGTTATAAAGGCGTCCGCTCTTCGCATAACATGATATTTAACAATGTCAAATAGGTTCACGCAAAATGCTAGCAAATTGATGTTTGACCCATTATCGCATACGTACAGTAAGCATCAATTAAGAATCTATAAAGCATAAAAGCATCGTTTTGTAATTAGCAAGTAAAATAACCCTTGTGGTCCAAGTTTCAGCAAATTCTGAGGTTTCCAAATACAGGGCCATCTATGTGAAATGGTCGTTTTCAAACATGTTACTTTATTTCAAAGGTAAGTTCATTACTTCTTTTTGCACTTACCACAAAGAACTACTATTTGTTTGCTTACATTAGGAATCCCACTTCAAATGACCTCCAGATTAAGAAATTACTCGTTTGTTCCATTTTTCGTTTTCAATATCTTAGGCTAGAGAAGGTAAATCAGGCTCAAATCACTTTGATGTAGATTACAAGGCTTAGGCTATCAAATATTAGGCTGGAAACTAAGTTTTGCAACTGGTTTCATAACTTCACTCTCTTTGGATATGGCGGACTCAAACTTTGGCATTATGTAGAAGGCAATGTGAGCTACAAGTGAGCGCAAATTGTCTAAATTTTGAACACGAAATAAAAACGTTTCAGGCGTTTTTCGAAAACTAGTGAAATTTGAGAATTTTTGGGGTTTCAAGCTAAAATGAAGCCTTTGGCAGCCTAGACCATGCGCAGTAGATCGGATTCGTCCATAAATTATTGCTGAAGGTTGACTCCTTTGGCCTAGTAAGAAAGAAACAAAATTTAGGGGCATGTCGAGATTTGGCGTCCTCATAAAGTCGAACGAGTCGATGTACAGTCGTTTTCAATACGTATTGGTTATTTCTACCGTATGCCTTCCAGCCTCAAAATGATTTGGATTGGTGTGGATTGGTATGGATTGGTGAGGCGCAGCATCGCTTCGGGTTTGCGTCGCGTTGCTTTTCTCGGCGGCGCCGCACCAATCCACACCAATCCACGTCATGGTGAGGCTGGAAGGCATACGGTAGAAAAAACCAACACGTATTGAAAACGACTGTACGCAAGAGCTGCTGGGGACGACCGTCAATGACTAAAGAGTCTAAAGCTCAAATTCCGCCGGGACTTTACATAGTAAGGTTATTTGACCTGCCAAATGCAAATGTCACATTCATCTGTTGAATCAACGCCTTTTCCTTGTTTAAAGTGAGACCCATATCGTACACCTACAGTAATCCTACAAAATAGCCCTTATCACGCAATTTCACTATCGTTTTCGTGATCAGCATGTCGGATATCACCTCTATGCCAAGTTTCAGCCAAATCCGTTAAACTTTGGATTTTTCCCCTTCATACCATGCACCTACCGTAACCCTCACGGCGACGTCAGAATTTAGTAGGACAGCAGCTGCGCTTGTAGCTTGCGTAATAACCAACGCAGAGGCATAATTTGAGTGCGCCATGTTGAGTGAGAGGGAAGTTATGAGACCTATTGCAAAACTTAGTTTCCAACCTAATATAAACATTCTTATCGTCTACCCTTGCGATTTACGTAGTAGCGCAGACTTAACATGTTACCGTATCCCAATGTTTTCGCAGTATTTTACCAGTATTTTACATTTGCATAGGTAAGGAAAAAGATTATATCTTGCTCTTGAAGAAACGTTTTCATATGAAATTTATGTTTAAAAAAAGTTAAGCAGTAACAACGATACAAAAAACGCAACTATCTGATCTGTTTGAAGGTAAGTTAATGGGGTGGCACCACCCCTCAAAAAAGCTGTGACAGCCACAGCTTTTTAGGGGCGGTGCCACACCCCATTAACTATATAGGAACATTTTTAGCGAACAGTATTTATATGAATTGATAGCCTAGACCTCGTAGATTTCATAGGAGTAATTTGACCTAATTTGTCTTCTTTCTGAGTGATATTTGGTGAAAGCACAGCCATTAGAAGCGAAAAATAGGAAAAACAAGATTTTGGTTGGCTTCTAGCTCCTTAGAGAGTCTTTTGAAGCGAGATTTCTGAAGTGGCCAAAGAAAAAGAAGTGCTTTGTCATACTTGCAAAAACAGCTAGCCACTTCACCTTTGAAACAAAGTTAATCATGCTGGAAAATGGCGATTTCACTTAGGTGACCCAGTATCTTAAAACTTCATAATTCGCTCAAGCACTGTCTACAGAGGTGAATTGACATCCCAATTATGGATATGTTGCCCGTTATGTTTGACAGCGCCTTCGAGTAATGCTATCTTAGGTATATCGTTCAGGGGGTCTTATTGAGACAGCAATAAGAGAGGGGGGGGGTCGTAACCAGCGATTGTGTGCCACACCTCTTGCTTGACCCTGGTTACAAATAAATCGACGATGTGCTGATATGTAGAATTTTTTTTTGTAGAGCCTCAAATAAGCATAAGAAATAACGTAAAATTGGCGTACCTACAAAGGCCTGTAGTGCACTATTACTAGTGCAAAGGCAGCACTTCTATGGGATATGCAAAAAATTTTTCTTGTTTTCTAGCAAAAGAAAGAAACAAGGGATGTACAAATGGATCTGCGGCCGTATTCATCAACGAACCCAGTGGGTTTCGGATATCGATTCTACTCCAGGGTAGAATCGATATTCATCAAGAGCACTAACCCAGTGAGTTCCGGAACCCACTGGGTTCGTTGATGAATACGGCCAATGGAGTGAAATGTAGAGGCGTGAACGATTAAGAGATTTCTAAAAGTTTTACTGAACGGAGTCGTTTCGAATGTTTTGATTTTTTTATTGCGACCAAACTTCAAAGTTGGTTTGATACTCAAATAATCTTGTAAAGTTTATATTGCTCTATCTATTATAGAGCCGTAGCCTTTCATATTGTAGGAGACATAGCTATAACTTGTTGCGCATAAAATTACTATAGTGCAAGACTTGAGTAACATCTCAACACTTTCAAGATCGCAACAAATTTACGCAATCAGACTATGTTTTTAGGATCAGACAACAAGAGGGACAAAGAAAGGGTTGTATGTATCAGCTTGCATTACAATCGGTATTCTTGTTATCATTATCATCGTAGTGATATGCTTACTGTGCTTCCCAAGCACTCTGCAGACGTGAGTTTTTGGCCTATTAGTAACGCATTGATCCAAATCCAAATCGCTTTTGGTCCGTTAAAAATACCGCTGTATGTATGTAGTTCTTAGTTTCAGAAATTTTATAAGTTCCTCATTAATCAGCATATTTTGACGGCAAAGCATGTGAAACGAAAAACTGCAAAAAAAAGACATATTTATAAAGCAGGAAAAGTACTTTAAATATGCTCAGTTCAAAATGTCGACTAAAGGGAGCATCACAGCAGAAGTGCATGAACAGAAGCAGCGAATTGTCGTACTGTGAGATATCATATTTATCAACTCAATCTGAGATTTGAATACTCAAGATTGTTTTACATGCGTGGTCAACGAGCTCGATCCGTTTCTTTCCTTTATTTGAGTAGTGAACCATTCTTGGGTAGGTTACAAGTCTAACGTCTTGGACATACATATGCAAAGCGAGATTCACAATGAAGTTAAGCGGTTTTGACTTCCACATACTGTTTTATATGCGTTTGTTATTATTTTCGCCGCTAGAAGAACATTTGAGTATAAGGGAGTGAATGATTACATTTCAAACAGTTCCCATCTAAAAAGAAACGCTTCGTTGTTAACATCCTATAAACTGCTCCAGCTTAAATAGGGTATAGTCGTGTTTATCTTGACGACATGCTGAGTTATTGGTCGAATCGGGGTCAAACATCTTTATGCGATCCGGGACCCCTTTTACGATCCTCCCTCCTCAAAGGTACCCATTCGTACCCCCCCCCCCCCCCTCCCCCCACTCCACCCCTCTTCCCCTCCCCATTTCCACGCTTCTGCGGTAACATGCACCAACGATTGTCAGATCACCTCAAAGAATGCCAATAGACCTTAATTGGAATTATCATACATCAGATTAAGAAAAATTTACTTACAAACTGTGAGATAAAGGAAAAAGGATAATGGATTCTCAAAGAGCTTTTAAAATAAAGGTAAGCAGGAAAATTTTACAAAGATATGGCTGTGCTTATCACGGTCACGAAAAGATGGATGGAGACATCAGCCAACGAAAAAGGACATCCTTTTAGTCTGATACCGACATTTAAATTGTAACCTGCTTAGACTTGAATCATAAACAGGAAATGAGGTAAAACAACAAGTAAGAAAAGATCAGGAATACGGAGCAATCCGTTTCATTCGACATAATTGATTGTTTTACAATAATTTTTGGATAACTCAACTATGTTTAAGTGAATGTACTTAAAGACATTCACCATGGTTTTGGAAATAAGAACGCTTAAGACCATAATCATGGTCTTGATAATCGTCATATGCGGCACCTCACCTTTGTGCAGAAAGTTAAAATGCTATTTTTGAGGGTCTGAAAAATGCTTTTAATCAAAAAACTTTTCTACTTTTGCGCAGATTTTTCCGCAAACAAAACTACTTTAGCGTTTTTCAGAATGATGTCAAAAACGTGCCTGAGCATGGTACTTGAAAATGCGTAAATGAATTCGGGGGAAGACTAAAATGCTGCAATGAACAGATTGTGTAGTCGAGTGCACGGACAATCAAAAAAATTGCAGGCATCCGGAAGCAGTAAGCTAATTTGAATGCGACTTGAGCAAATTTAAATGCGATCTGGTGTGTAGTTAGTATGCCAGCAGTAGGTTAGTAGATTTATTGTTAGTAGTGGCGGCCTAACGTTTCGACGATTTCGTCTTCTTCAGAGGCCTAAAGTGGTAGGAGATTTAGATCCTATGCTCCACCCCACCACAAACCTCTTCCTACCCTGGCCTCGTGCTGGCATACTAACTACTCACCACATTACAACTAACTATGCCGAAGTTAAGAAAGGAGGAAACATGGAAGTTACTTAAATGTGATCGTAAAAACTAAATGGGTTTAAGCTTAAAATTTTGCATCTCACTGGAGAAAAGAAATGGCCTGAAATTTTTAGGAGAGAAAGGATGGAAAGTAGGAGGATGGGTCCATAATAGAGTAAAATTGCAGCGAACAAGCTTCCGTAGCTCCAAAAAGTCTAGATGCTACCCAAACACGACCTTTTTTTCATTTTTTGTTATACATTGAATCAAAGAAACTCTACGGTTGTGAAATAAAAACGGATTTTGCACGGATGTATCAGAGTAACTCCCAAGTACAGCTAAGTTGTGTGAGCCCATAAAAAACATTACAAAGTATTCACAAATTACTGATTGTCATCGTACAGATATACGCTCTTTCAAGTGTGTGAAATTTTAAGAGACTTCGGAAGTAGGACTTCTAGGCCTATCCTTACATACAACATCTTTATTACACATACATGCTTCTGATAGTTGTTTGAGCTTCTGAAAACGCTTCTCTGAGTCTTCAGTTATGCTTGGGGCTAGCAGGTTCGATCTCTCGCCTGCGGCGCCTTTTTAACAGGACAGGATGAAGAATACTTTTTAGCCTAAAGAATCTTTGCTACAAAAAAGGTTAATTCTTGCTTTCTGAACATTCTTATTCAAATTTACACTCTAATTCCCTCCACAGCGACGAATGCCCCTCTAGAGTTGAAACCAGCGATTCACTCGACTGGAAAACGGCGAATTCCAATTTCTTTTCTACTTCCAACTCCTTTTCCCCAGAGTTTAGTGAGTCAACCACTAACAAACTTGCTTGCGGTTCCCTCTGAAAGTTAATGGTGAATGTCTTAGTAGTAGCATAGAAAATGTGGCAATTCCGCTTGACTCACAAGTAAAAGGTTGCCAATGGGTCCTCAGACCACTACAGTTATAAGCATTTGGTGTGATTAAAGAGATACATAGATTTCGAAAACTGAAAAGAACAAAGTAAAAAAATTACGTGGTTTGAGCTTGACCCTGAACTGATGCAACTTCTTCTATAAGACTTTCCTGTTTTTTGATAAGACTCCTGAATTTTAGCATTGCGTAATGTAACTACAGCTACAAATTGTTCAAGCTGTTTAATTTTTTGGTAATTAGATATGAAAAAATTTGCGCCTTTGTTGAAGACTGGGTAAAATGTGGTTTTACGAGTTTGAAGGAATCAAACAGAGCAGTACAAAACATGGTGACATCATTGAAGGTGCTCGACTTTATAACAATGTCCTCAAAAATCTCGAAATCTTTTTTGTATCGTGTGATCAAGTGTGGGAGAAAAAATATTCCGACAGGGTTATCACTTAGATTTTTTGCGTAATACACCGTAAAGCCCCGATGTTGGCTGAAGCATGCTTAACTTTCAGCTATATATAATCTGTGTTTTGTGGTTTTACGCTATTACACTTTTCAAAAATCAAACAAAGTTTATAAGAAGGAAGTTGTTTTTACATAGCGAGATATGAGATACACTGAAAATCGGCAGATTACTTCTGTCATGTTTCCATCAGGTTTTCATTTTGTTACCCTTACCCCATTTCAGTTTTGATGCACTTGCGATCAGTCACTTCTTTACGATATGATAGTGCTACCAATCGTTTCTTACCTTTTCTTTACATCTATGGAAGGCATCAATCATATAAGCAGGGCCCGGCACGAGGTCGGCAGATGACAAGCTGGAAATCGTTTTGGGGCCAAAAAGCAAAGGGGAAATCGTTTTCGCGGGGTCCGGGGCGGAGCCCCGGAAAAAAATTGGTAGTTTATGCTCGCTACTTATCTTGACATGTTATGTGCCTCAACAGGCGAACACTGGAGTTCGCGCGCGTCAAACCGCGCCGTCGCTAATTGCCGCACGCGCGACGTCGCCCAAGAGATGCTATTTGTAACTGCATACATGACTAGTTCTCAATGTTTGTGTAACGATATGGCACCAAATTTTGTACGCGAACGGAGAGAGGCTAGTGGAAACATAATGTGAAAATTTATGAAAAACTTATGTGAACGGAACGAGTAATTAGCATTTTTTCCGAGAATTTCGCAAAACTGGTAAATGAAGATGTGAATTCAAACGGCTCGTTTGGAACGCGCAGATGAACGATATGGTATGAAACTTGGTGTGTACATGCACACGTGCTTGCAGGGCTTAACTGAGGAGTTTCATTGAAAAATTATGTGACTGAAGGTTGTGGCAAACGTTTTTCTGAAAATTTTGCGCTACCAAAGAAATGGAAAAATGGCTCGTTTGCAACGCAGAGGTAACGAAATCGCGCGGGTTTCGGTGTGTACATGCGCAATAGGACTAAGTAATAAAGTATGAAATATTATGAAAAACTTATGTGAATGAAGAGCGTGCTTAACTAATTTCCAAGTTAGGTCGGCATTTGCCGACCTAATTCCCACCTGAGGTCGGCAAAACTCTCAATTCACATAATTTTATCAAAATTTTTACATAAATCTGTTGTACACCTAAAGTTTACTACATGGTGAAATTTTGGTTCCGAAACTCCTCCTCTTGTCCTTGTTAGAGCCCAAAATCGCATCAGCAGCCTAGCTTTCTAAGATAGAAAGCGCGCCCCAGTCAATCGATACGCGCGGGAACGGCGTCTCTCATTCCTATGACTGCGTTTCTTCAATATTTTCTCATTCCTTAATCATTTTTCTTGCTTATTTTTCTTCCTGTTTTCTATTTTGATACAGCTGAGGAGTAATTTGAGGAATTTAAGCAATTTGGGCGCTTTTGAGCGCTTTTAGGCGAAGTGTGGCCGCTAATCTCGTCGCACAAGCACAAAACGTAATTTTTGGGCTCAAGGGGGTATTGGTAAAATTTATTGGGATCAAAAGGGAATTCGTTTTGGAAAACCCCGTTTGCCCACCTCGTGCCGGGCCCTGCATATAAGGCAATAGATCAGCCAAAAACCAGCTTTTCAACATGCAGACAAAATTCTTGAGTAGGCTGGCCTCTTGGCATTCAAATTGTGCGCAAAAATGTGGAAAGGATGTTAAATCTAGAGTTTAGAAAACCAGAATGGAAAAGTTAAGGGGAGCATCGCTAATGCTGCGCGTATTTACACACCATGGAATGAGTAGCTTGAAGGCAGTGTCTCACCAAAATTTAGTTGCGGAGATTTTTGCATTTTGCATACCTGTCGGACCTTGTCTAAAACTGTATGGGCTCAAAATCGCGCGAAATTCTGAAAACCCCGTTTTCTGGAAGGTACAACTCGTCCATGTTGCTCTGGAGGCCCCGCGGAAGCAACGTGGACGAGTTGTACCTTCCAACTTCAGCCTCAGCCACAGTCGCAGCAACAGAGGGAGATGGATGCCAAATGGAGGGACATGTTCAAACGTGTAAGGGGGAGACCGAAGTAATCGTCCGCGCGTACCAAATCGCTCTCCGCTTACCACTTTGAGCGAATTCTTCTCAGCGTAAAGGAGGTCAAACTAAGTGGGACTTGTTACAATGGCTTATTTAGAAGTCCCTATAATAGAATATGTAGATCCGCGCAATCTCAACTTTGGTGAGACACTGCCTTTAATCTTGAGTATTGTTTTTCCTCTGATGTTAACACGAACCCAAAAATCCTCGTTGGAAACCTTAGCAACGAAGAGATTCATAGCCTTTGTAAGAAATCCTACAAAGTAGAGCCTGCTCTTTATTAGCAATCTATTTTTCTTTCAGAATACAAAAAGATGAGGGAGCGGATATAAAAACAACAGAAGGGGCGGATATGAAAACAACAGAAGGAGCGGATATGAAAACAACTGAAGGAGCGGGTATGGAAACGACACAAAAAGGCGAAGGCACGGAAGTGAAAGAAAAGAAAAATGTTTTTGCCCTTCCACAAGAATATCGTCTTCCAAAAACACTTGTGCCATGTAAGCATGATTGCTATATTCGCTTCATGAAAGTGATAACGCAAAAATGCGAATTATTGAGACGAGTCCTACTACGCAAGTGCAACGCAGATTGACATAATTTACGTAGGATTTTCTTTCAACAGTTTAATTTCAGAGTATACAACGTTGAAATTCCAAGTCTTGCCGCGCAAACATAGCCAGCTTTGCATGTTTGTGAAGTAAATTTAGATTACCGGTTATTTTTAGACATTTCAAACCTACAGTTACTCTCGGCGAAAAATTTTGGCGTTAGCACGTCATGTTGTTAGGGAGACGATGCTACAAAAGCTTGCAGCAGTCATTTTTTCCATAAATATTCTTTAATAAACCTACGAGTAGAAATTACACGCCTTCTTTCTACTAATACCTGCATTAACAGCAACATCCTCCAATTTGTAGAAAATGAGAGCCCACAAAATATTGTTCAGCATTTTTTACATTGCAATCCCATCAAACCCAACTGGACTGGGGCCGCATACATCCCCGCTGGGAGGGATCGCAGCTTAAAAGAATGCTCCATATCCTCAAGCTCCAAATGTCTAGATTTTACGCTCTTTACCCATCTAGGTTTGCTGTTTTGGATCTTTTAACCGTATTCAAAAAGTGGACTTTTCATAAAGTTGTAACACGTTAAAGTGAGATTTCGCAAAACGGCCATTATTTTTGCACCAACCTGATAGAAGTACAAGCACAACTTTTTACTCTTACTATTAAGCGATAGCATTTGAGAAATGTCACATTTAGCGTTGAAAAACCCGAAAAAGCCACATTTTCGTAATTTTGGGTTATCTCCTTCCAAATTCTAAAGCCCTAGAGAAATAAGTGTGCATACGAATTAGATGAAGATTGTAGATGAACAATGCAATCTGCGTGAACAAGCTAGAGATTTTCTTGAAACTCCATTAGGAAGAGTTGAATTTTTTTGCGCTTTTATGTTTTTTAGATTTTTTGCAATTTAATATGGGACGAGCTTTGTGCGAATGTTTAGAGACCACTTTGGAAAGCCTGCTTTGTTCTATCAAAACCTGTCTTAAAGATTCTCTAGAATTCAAAAAAAAACAAGAGTTAGGAGGCGAAAAGTGGAAAGGAACGACAACCTGATATAGATATTTTGGTTCGAAAGTTCGTGTCGTTTTTCAGACTCATCTTTAAGCCACTCAGAAACGGTTGTCAGTCAAATTAACACAGTTGCAAAGCGGGTGCTGCACTGGCCCACATATGGTCCAGCTTAATAGTGAACCACTTTAGGTGCGGACGTCGCAAGCGACAGAAAATTCGTGCGGTTCGCCTTTTAGGGAAGATCGCTGAATTGGCACGTATTTCAGCTAGCTTGCCGCGGGACTTTGGGGACGTGCGCTAGTCGGTTCAAAAACTGGGTAATTAAACCTTTATTAAGCTTAACAAATAACAAAAATACGCAAATGTACTAAACTAAATCCTACAAGTACCCTATTCAGGCAAATTATGACTACCTAATGATGGTGTAGTGCGGAGAATTTATCGTGCAATGAGTCGTGCAGAGAAAAGGCTATAACAATGACAAATCAAAAGGAGACAGTGACCATTCTCTAACCGCTAGCTTACAGTTAGACATCGCTGGGGGCAGGCGGGCGCCGGAAAATACGCGTTGCTAAAATTTCGCATTCAGCTCGCAAATTTCAGAAAAATGGTCAACGAGTTCTCCAGAAATCGTCTGTTAAATTCTTTTCGCTCGTATCTTTTGCAGATATATTGCTGAACCTCTGAGGAATTGAGAACTTAGCAAGCGGCTTTCCGAAAAGTCCCGATTGCTTTCCAAAACATCCGCGAGCGAAGTGCGAGAAATCAACCATCTATTTTTCCGGTGCCCACCTGCCCCCGGTGATTGTCTAAGTATAAAGCAAATACATGAACATAAATCAAATGCATAAGCATAATACAAAGAATGTCTGTGAAGTAAAAAGATAAAGCCTTGTTCTCATAACAACTATCACACGCATTAGCTGTCTGTGATTCTGTGGTCCTGTGATCCGCATTGATTCTTCGCATCCCTGTGAAGATACTGACTCATAAGTCATTATACTCCGGTTTAAGCAATAGAAGTCGGAGCTGCGGTGTAGCAAGCCATGACTGATAATCTGGTGTCCGCTTCTCTTCTTGTGCTCGTGCTGATGCGCTGTCTCTCCACGTTCATGAGTTTCCCCTTGCATCTGTCAAGCTTCTGAGGAAATACTTCCTTAGCTGAATCTTCCGGGTATACTACTCGAGCTTGGTGCAGACGCTTGAGTGGTGCACACGGTGCTCTGTTGATGGCGCCGGTGGGTCAGCTCTTTTGCAGTAGAAACATTGGGCTTTTCCTGCAGCTTAACGCGTCGTGCAATTCGATACAAATGAAACATCGACCTTCTTCGCGCAGGATTTCCATTTTCCGGCCACACTTCTTATCCTCGGGCATGCATCGGAATAGTGCTTTCCGAACACCTTGCAATAGACGCACATAGGAAGTGATTCGTTGTCCTTTATTTCTTAATCTACGAAGCGTCTTTCAATTTCTCCGCAGTTGCATAAGAAGTGTTCTACGCCACTTAACTCCGTTTTGCTCTAATCCAGGAATCTCTGAAGGTTTGCTTGTTGCCGGTTGGATTCCGATACGGGACTCTCGTGCCGTCTCTTGGAACCTGTTCTTGTGCAACCAGAATGTGACATGAGTCTTCTTTTTCTCCTTGCTGGGTTGGTGTTGCCTTTTATCTTGGTACCGTCTCTTTGCGGCTCTCATTGGTGGATATCGTACTACTGATTGAACTGATAGAAGACTCCATCTTGTCCAGCGAGCTTCTGATGCTCCTGCTCTGTGATAAACTCGTGCTTCCTACTTTCAGCCTCTTTTCTGACTTGCGCAGACAGGTTTTTCAACTGTGCTGTGATGTCTTCTATCTGGTAATTGTGCTTTCCTGTTGCCTCTTGACATCTTCGAGAAGTGAGTAAAATACGTTTTTCATTTCACGGATGACTAGTCTTTCGAAATGTTGATTGAATGAATTGCAACCATTCCTGTTCCGTGCTGCTGCCTTTTCACGTCTTCCTGCAAATGTATGAAGGCGTTCCTCATCTCACGAAAAGTTTTGTCTTCCGCGGCAGTGTTTCCTTTAGATTCGCATTTTGCTTCTTCTACCGCTGCCTCTTCTTTTTGCAAAAGGAGGTCGTAAAGACCGAACAGGTTGTGCACAATGTTGCAAACTCGATCTTCGTGTAATTGCGCCAAGTTTGTTTTAATTCAGGATGGCCCTCGTCTCTCGGCTTCGTCGTCTCGTCGAAGACTTTGGCTGATGTCTCAGCTATATATTAATGTACGCCAGTCGTTCAAGTTCGTTCGCTTCGTTTGCCGCCAAGACTTCATACCATTCGCTAACACGAGTTGGTCTCTCATGACTGTGAGACTTGTGCGTTATTTCCTTGTGCTCCATGTGAAGTTGCTTTATCCTTAGAAAATAGTGCAACGCTCCGTTTTCAACAGTGAACATATCCCATTGTCCATTATAAAAGATACAAATCGTGCTTTGGCTTGCTTGTGTAGACTTTCATACACAAAGCATGTGCCCGCTGAAATTTGAGTTTCTGCTGGACGATTACTGTGGGCGAGCTGGTGAATTTTTGACAATTCTCATCTTCCGTTAAGAACTCTTGCCTCAGCTTCTTCTCCTCCATATAGCTGCGTTCTTCTTCCGTAAATCTATCTATAATCTGGAATAATTGAATGACTAGATGCTGGGTACTCGGTTTTTACTTAAGTAGTCGTTATCAGTTACTTTCATTTTCGTAGACTTAATCAGTACGGTGTGCTCGCCGCCGCGTTTTGCGAGATGTTTGATTTGGAGCTTATTACGCCAACTTTTTTGCCGTAACTCGCGCTCGTCGCCGTTTTTCATTGTTATATTAACCGCTTTTCTTTTTTGATATGGCTTCCGCATCAGCGGTAAGGTGATCCTCCCTCTTTATTTTATCCCATTTTTTTGATGATAGAAAAAGAGATATCTTTTTAAAGGCAGTGTCCGGTCAAAAACTCGATTTTGAGATTTTGTGCTTACTTGGGCCTATTCGCTACGCTGAATCCGAAAATGCATATTGTAGAGCGTGAAAATGGCGAAAAACGGCTCTAACACAGGAGGAAAATGAGCAGGTGGGCGGAGCCCTCCCCACTGCGAATTCACGTTCCCGGCTTCCGGAGCGACCTTCTCGCTTCCGGTTTCAAGTCAATCATTCGCACTTGACCGGTAGCGATGTTAGGACGGCTAGCGAAATCGAAAAAATCGCTCCGGGAGCCGGGAGCGTGAAATCGCACTGGGGAAAGCCCCGCCCACCTGCTGATTTCCCTCCTTTGTTAGGGCCCTTTTTCGCCGTTTTCGCGCTTTCCGATGTGGATTTTCGGATCCAGCATGGCGAATAGGCCCGTATAAGCACAAAATCTAAAAATCGAGTTTTTGCCCGGACACTGCCTTTAAGAGCCAGCAAGGGAAGTGGTGCGTATTTTCTATGCCCGGCTAAGTTGCGATACTATAAGAATTTGGAGTTCAGCGCTCGTGCCATTGTGCCTGCAGTAGGTTTATGCTCTTCATAGGATTTTCTGCCGTGGTTTCTTCCCTTGTTGCATTCGAAGCGATTTGAGCAGCGTGCGCAATATGCATTCCTTCAAACGCATAGCTTGTACAGGCAATAGCCGAGTCGGGAAACGAGTCTTATGACTGTGCAGAAGAATGTGTTCGTGATGCAGGTGCATGTCATTAGCAGTGCCAACGTCACTAGTGCAATAGTGATCATTAATGTATAGCTCCAGTTACGAAAAGCATCGAGTATATGTCCAAAGTCTGAAAGATTTATTTCCGAGAAGATCTCCTCTTAAGAAACGTCATGTCGCTTAGTGTGAATTTCGTATAGTACAGAAATCCTGAATCTCAAAGGAGATGACCGTTGTCCCACATTTGATAGTACATTTTCTGTGGAAC